TTAAAGGCTAAAATATATCACATATAAGAGATCGTTTTCATTTATTTATCTGCAAAGAAGTACACAATAAAAATATGAATCTCATTAGTGGAATACTAGACTTTTGAGCCAGATTCATTTCATGTGTAACTATTATGAAGGTGTATGGCTCATTGACTTAAGCACTTGACTTTTAGTCGATCGGTTCCGGGTCCGAATCCCGCATCAACTAGATCTTCGGTACCTTGGACATGTGGTTAGACATTGTCAGACTTCATACAGTAAAGTGTAACTTATTTCTTCGTACATGGTAAATGTGGTCTGCACTACTGTGTTGTCATAACATCTTTTAAACAGAGTCTACCGTTGGCTTACTTATCTTTTAACACATGATCATAGGAATAAAAGTACAACCGTGTAAAAACACTAACAGGCCCCCGTAAAATGTAAACCAGATATATAATTACTCTATGAAGTCTTAAGCCTATACCTGATTGAAAATGATTAATAGACATATATTACTCAACATCTAAATCATTTCCTTATGTTTTATCCAATTAGGACAATAATGTAATTCATGAAAAATTGTGATTATATAACAGTTATGGTATGCATCGAAAAACTAAACAAGGCAAACAACTAGTAATTGCTGACCTTCAGAGTTCACTTTACCACTTGATAATCAATTGAAATCTATACAGACTGTACAAATAAAAAATCAACTAGAAACTATTTACTTAGTTATAAGGGGTAGAGTTGAAGTGGATAAATTACAAAATTATTAAGGATTGTTTTATAAGTGAATTGAAAAATGTTTTAAAAAGGACAAGTGTTGTCTAAAAAATTTTATAAAATAAAAGTACGATTACGATAAGAATGAAGATGTGAAGTGAAGTGGAAAGAATTCAAGTGGTAAAATAAAATAAAGTAAAAACTAGAAAGAACATTACTATGACCAATTCACTTATAAAACAATCCTTAATAATTTTGTAATTTATCCACTTCAACTCTACCCCTTATAACATTTTAATAATCGTTATTCTTATCACATATATGTATATTGACTGAGCAATTATTTATTTACTTAGTTCATGATTTATTAACTCTGATTGATTATACATGTGGCGTAGGCCAGGCTGAATTTATTCAGGTTCAGTGTAAATTATTTCGTTTACAGCTAAGAGAAATAGTCATGTAACATTAAGGCCGTTCGAAACCGCGTGGAAAAATCTTTAGACAATAGCGTAGATGTCTTGTTATCAACACTAATCACTAATACACATTCTTAACCGATGATATTCAATGCCTTAATTATTTCTATCGTACAGGAGGTAAGTTGTAAATGAGACCAACAGTCAATCAAAATTAGGTCACCTCTAACTAAATAGCTCTTTTTCTTACTAACTAACAGCCTGACCAAGCCAGCTATGCTGGACAAAACATTGATGACTACTCACTGTAGTCGTGCATCACTAATTTGTGATTTATATGTTCCACTAAGCAGGTTCTGTAGTCAGTTTACTCTCATCAGAGATACATGGAAGCTTAAATCCTGCAACGGCCATCCACACATCAAATATACAACACAGCCGATCCGCTTCATTCCAGGCAAAATAATAATAGTGACCCTATTATTGATATATTGATACATTAACTAGACTGTTAAGAAAATATTTTAGTGTAAGAAATGTTAGTAGAGATAGTGTATTCTATGAACAACTTGGAAACTCATAAAATCCATCCCCGCATATTTGTATTAAGTTCAAGTGTTTGGATATGGTTAGTCGAATAGCAGCACTAGTAACAGTAAGAAGTCTTGAAAGTAAATCTGTATTTCATACATCAACTTCGTTAAACTGTATTAATGAAGCAGATATCAGACTCTGAAGTTTTCTTACCTAACAAAGTTGATCATAAATGAATTTCAGTGAAACATTCTTATAACACTTAAAGTAAGCATTCAGCGAGCGGTACGATACTCAATCACCTAATGTTGATCTGAAATTTTCAAGTAAATTAATGAATAAGCCCCCTGAACACTGGAATTACTCGACTAGAATTTCAGGGCACATAGTTCAGAGCTAAGATTCATTCGGTTTCTTGTGTGTGGTTATGGTTTATCATCATTACTGACTGCACACTCTTTCACTTGGTTGCTTAGTTCAATGTCATATTAGTTGTCTTAGATAGTTTAGTGGTGACAACGAGATATGCTCCCACAAGAAAATATCACACTACATGCCTGATTTGGTTAGCAATGGTGATCGGTTCTTACACAGGAGTGTGATTATTAGTTCCAATTGTGTTAATACATAAAGTAAAAAAAAGTCCATCACAGAATACTGAACTGGTACATTTCAATAACCATAATGAATACTAAACAACTTAATTGATTACTCACTGTTTATTAAATCGTCTCCGAAAAAATTTGTCGTGAATTATCTAGCAACTGATTTATATTATGTTTTTGTTATCAACTTAATTATGTTAATTAATTCCTCTTACTTGTGTATTTTGAGATAAATCAATCACTTTAAATGAACGTTTGCTTGAAGTAAAAGACAATAATCGACTCAGAGTTAACTCAAAGGTTTTGAAATAATAGAGAAGATTTGTAGCTCAGGTGGAACACTATTAACTCAAAGGTTGTTCTTTATTAAGTGACTAAAAATTCTGTACTTATTGAAGAAGAATACAATGAAGTTGGTCCTTTATGAGATATTTATTTACTCACTCTATCAAAAGAGTTAATAAAATGATCACATGTCGAAAGCAAGTGACTAGACGGATAACTTTAAAAGAATACTTTAATAGGGACGTCTCCAACTGCAGCATTTGGTGACGCGAATTCGAATCTCAGAGGGAACATCAGTTCCTTATGAGGTCCCAATGCTCCTTGTTGATAAATGTCGACAGGCACAGTTTGATATGATTATGAGTAATAATTTGTTCTAGATTGAATAATCAATGTTTGCCACAAGCCTACCATTGAACCAACACCAAGTAGTAAAACTCTGTCATATACGGAGAGATTAACCTTCCAAATAGTTTCAATTAAAATGCAAAAAAATTAAAATATTTCAGTGCATTACTACTGAATCAACAAATGTGGTCGGTATGCCTGTGAACTATTTGCTTCATAAGAAAAATTATGTATGTACCATGAAAAGAATAACCTCGCCTAGTTTACTAGTCCGTCCAAAGACCGGAAAAGAGGAATTGGGAAGAATGGATGATGCCAATTTGTAAAAGTCTTCGCGGAGCCAGTAGACTTATTTCTTTTCTTTCGACAAGAGCAAACGCAGGCATAGGGATATAAAATATCCGTCCCATGTTTCAGGCTGGCAAGGTTGCTCAGAGTGCAGATGAAAGGAGGGGATATGGTACAGAGGTATTAGGGATCTATGAGAGCAAACATGACGAAAGTGGACTTTCCAAAATATTAACTGGAGGGTCAGTAATCTCCCATCACACAAATGACAGAAACCGGCTCACTGAGGGTGTTGCTATCAAGCTGTTGCCCACAGTATCGAAGCTTCTCAGGCAGTGAGAACCAGTCTCCTCCATGATCACGATAGAAAGACTCAACTTAAAAGGTAAGAAGGTTAAAAATATATAGTGGTATGCACCTACGACAAACCCTACAACACCACATCACGTAACTAGATCGCTATCTTGGAAGAAATCAATTGATGAAACTGGTGAAAGATAGTGGAGGAAACCGGGTTACCAAAGAGAAGGAACAAAGGAAATACTGGACTGAATACTTTAAATGACTCTTGGATCGACCGACACCTACAACTAGTCCAGAAATACCACTGGACGACACCAATTTATCAGTGAACAATCCCCTCCAACAAAACCAACAGTTTTTGTCGCTATATCGTTACTAAAAGCCTGGAGTGAGTAGTAGAACTAAATGTAATTCCACAAAAAGCACTGGAAACAAAACTGGAGGCTCCAGAGAACAAGTCCACATAACTACTGCAAAAGGTATGTAAGGAAAAAAAGGTAACTCTCGACAGGGAAAAGGCTACCTTGCCAAACCGACGAAGAGGAACAACACAAATCTCACTCAACAGTTATATGATGATGCCACAAGAACAAACAATTCATAACGAGAGCAGGCCAAGGCTCCCTACTATAGCTGATCATCCTCCCAATTGTGGTGGGACAGAGCATGCAACAAACCGTGGGGTCAGAAGAAAGCCATACGTTTCAGTGACGAGAAAAACATAAAAGATCTGAATTTTGTGGATAATTTATGTCTGTCTTACAACACCGAAGATTTACAAACTGAAAACAACAAGTTGGCAGAGTAGACAGACAGAGAAGATAGGACTTCAATTGAGGGTAGAAAAGACAGAGGAGATGAAGATACCTAGCCAACAACAGAAAGTACTTAAAACCATTAACGAGAGAAATCTGAAGGAAGTCATCTCTTTCACTCAACTCAGCAGCATCGTTTCAAATACACACGGAACGGATGAGGAAATCACAGTAATTATCAGAAAAACAAGACGTTCATTACTCTGAAATCAGTTTGGAGACCAACAGCACTTAGCACGAGAAACAAAACTTTCGTCAATAGCTGCATTTTCTGGTATGATAGTGAAATGAGATAGGCGGCCAGAAAAAAGCTATGGCAACGAACCACTCTAATACCTGTTGTCCAATATATATGCAGAAAGAAATGGAGGTGAATTGGACATACATCAAGGAGACCTTCATGTGGCATCACACGCCAGACAGGTCCTCAAGTGGAACCTGAATGGAAAGCAACGTGATGCGTATCCGAGAGTGACACGGAGAAGATCATCTGGACAAAAGACGAGAGCTTTCGGGCAGTCGCAAAGCAAGCTAAAAGTGATGAGAGAAAACGAGGTAAAAAATTAAAATGTGCTGTTGAAACCCTCGGAAAACAAGGAATGAACAATAACTATGAACTATTGACAGTTAAAACAAATCAGGACGTTATTTGCAACTTTATGAATACCAATACTGGTGGTACTTCTACTTACTTCTTCTAATCCTCCATGTTCAAGTGCAAAATTGTAGACAAATCTTCGTTCACTTGGATTATTCATAGCATCTTCACACCCAATAGCACGTAATAAATTGCGCATAATTGCACTCTCTTGATGGGTTATATCAATCGTCTTGGCTATTTTATCATAACCAAAATGTTCAACATGACGAAAGTTTGATGGATTACTGATATCTTTGGAAGTGAGCTTCTGCTAAATAAAATATTTAAAAAATGCATAAGTATAAAATGCGATAAAAGTGCATATTTTACAAGAGGATAATACTGAAGGAATTAAACAACAACTAGTGGGAGAGTGAAAGTAAACTGAATTCAATTTTATTATTACTACATAATGATTTACATAAAAAGCCACTGCTGCTTCCTGACTATATTACCGGAATTCATTCTGTTGTTTCACAATACAGCATGAAGTAGCCTTAATGTTTCAACGTCATACATAACGGACGCACTGACACTGTTTTGAAAGCATACATTCATTTTAAATGGACTGAATAGTGGTAGAAACATTAAACTGAACTATTTCAGAACAATCTTTACTCAGTACAGTCAGTTAAATAATAATAATAATAATAATGAGTTGGGTTCAAAATATCTCTCTTAAAAAAGACGACGATATGATGCATGTTCTTTTCAAATTCTTTGCGTTCTAAGTGCAGCATGGGACTTGAGACTTGAGACCTTAAAGTTTCAGTAGTGGTGTTGTTTTTTTAACGGGGTAGGGTTGGCAGCCTCATGACCAACCATCCCTATTTTTCTAGACTTGTTACCACCAGCCAGGTGCAGTTTAGGCGCGTGTCAGCCGAGAATCCCAGCCCGCTCGAACCACGTGCGTAGTTGACGCGCATTGTACCACCTTGAACCATCGATGCACTATAAGGCATGTACACCAGGCTAGTCATTAAATGAATTCACAAAAGAAATCAGTCCTGATTCTAGTTTTCATTAAAATCTAGTGTTTGAATTGGCTTAGACATATGCCCCAAACTGTCGAACCTTTTGAAGTGTTGTTACGAATTGGTTGAATGTTGAAAAGGCTAACTGGATAAGTTTAACTTGAAGCACCACCAGCTACCCATGGAGTGCAACCGCACCAATGACCTTGAAATGCCCACTGAGCAAGCTAGTGAAACCTGGTAAATAATGTTGTCATCATCAATAAAATATGCTCATCAAAGTATTATGCTATTAAATGGGATATCTGGCAACTCCATTATAGATAAGATTTCATTTTGATAAACCACACAGTGGTATACAGTAATATCAACTGATGACGTTTCGAGCCAAAACTATTGCTCATAATTATATCAAGTCACTCACAAGTTTCAGCTTGTTTGGGAAAGATTAAGTTATGGTTTAAGCCAAGGACAAGCTAGGGTTAGGTTAACCTAATAAAGGCAACATTAGGGTTGGTTCGAGTTAGATTAGGGTTAGTTTAGGGATATTTTCACGTTAGGGTGGGGTTCAGGAAAGATTAGGGTTATTGTTAAGTTTAGAAGACCTAAATAATTACAAGCATAGAATGTGGTTAAATTATTCTGTTGATATAAGAATAGAACTTGTGCACTGTAGTAAATTATAGTTTCATTGGGGGTAACATTCATTCTGATAAGGTCTCACAGTGTTATGCAGTAGTATTTATTGATGACGTTTCGAGCACAATTTATTGCTCAGGAAATATTACTGTATTACACTATGAGACTTTATCAAAATAAATTTTACCTACAATGGAATTAAATTCTGTTGATACTCCAACCTAAATCTGAGAGCTATTTTTATCACATGTGAGAGCAAGGTATCCTCTGTAACATCTTTCTACAGTCTTTATGCATTATTTCATGAATATATGTATTCCATACATTAAAATGCCTTCTTCACGTGATTGCTGCGTTCAAGGTCACTCGCTGATTGGTGGTTAGTGGTGCTTAAAGTTTAACTTTGTCGGTTAACTAATCATCATCAACTAAAATTCATGTTACTTCTTTGAGTTAACAGCTAGTCAAATGTATTTTTCATAACACATACATTTCTTTCTTTGATGCGCATGTAACTGGAAGTATAACAAGACAGACATTTCAACGATTAACGAAGTGACTTATACTTCTGTTTTATCGAAGATCTAAATAGTTTCATTTTGTCTTTCCTACTTCTACTACTTTTTTTTTCTTATTTTTAATCACAGTCATTCTTATGTCAATGATAAAAATAATAAACATTTAATAATCAACAGTCACCTGCAGACTGTAACTTTTACGCTTGACAAAAAGTTAAATTTTAACGAATTACTCATTCAATTCAATTATAATACAGCATACACTTTTTTTCATGAAAATAGTTCCTTTAGAAAAGTCACACAACACATGAGATATTATATCATTAAATGACAAAATCGCAGGATAGTAAGTCTATCCTTTATGTAATTTAAGTAAATTAATGAATAATGATACTATAATTAAATTAAATGAACATTGTAGAAATTCCACTTATAATAAGTGTATTTGATCAAACACATAAACACACATTCTTCAAGATACTTCAGTTGCATAGCGCTACGCACACAACACAACATGAAATATGTTAAAGTATAAATTAATCAAACAAAAACGTCAATGAATATTGATAGTAGAAATAACAGTTTGTTTCAATCTTCTACCGCTTCCTATAAATAATTACGAAAGATAAATTCTTGACAATATGGACATGGAAAATATATGTATATATGTACGCGCTATGAAATGAGAAGTTTTTAAGAATCTCAAAGCACACTAGATTAATCAATAAACACTTTATTATCCACATGATGTCACATGAGCATCTACACCTTCTTTAACTTAATTCTTTCCTTTTACAAAAAGCATTTACCAATAATACAATCAAATGAAGGTTTAGGTATTTATAAAGGGCTACTAAAAAAAGAGATGAAGTGTCTACATTTATTGATTTTGTTTTCTGCATCACGAGGTTGACATAACTTCAAGTGCTGACTCTTGGTAGTGTCGATACATCCATGCAAAGAGACTAAACACTAAGTGAAGCTGACTAGTGTAGTCAAATATAACAACAGGAAATCACAAACATTACACGAATAAATAGTTTTGAATCATACCCGTTGCACAAGAGGTCGCTCACATAACCCAGGAGCCTAGTAAATAACGCTTTGGCATTTGAAGCAATACAATGCTGGGTTCAAATTTCATTGGGAAAACCATCACCTACTGAGGAGCAAACACGTTCAACTAACGAGTCCCAAAAAGGAAGAAACGCGCATCGTGGATTCTACTACTAACCACCACAAACAAGTAGCTTCGGTTAGGGATATTTTTCTGAAGAACATACCAGTAAAGTAATACTTAACCAGTTCTGATACTACTTGGTAAGGACATCTATCTTGAAATGAGTATTTCATGCATTCTGTTTTCTTTATCTCTTTTGAAGAATAATTAGTTCAGCAAGGGTTAATTCAAAGGGCAAAAGGATAATCAATAGGTATGTGTATGACAAATATGAATATAGAAATTGTAAGAAAGATAACCATCTGCTGGACATGTGCAGACACATGCAGAGTCAGAAAGCTGTTTCACAGAAATCATGTTATGCAACATACATAGATTCATAAGCGAAATTGAGATCTTTTCAATTGTCACTTTCCGGTACCTACTGGATATACAACTCAACTATATCAGCAGTAAAAATCTATTATTATTTATTAGCATTATTATTTTCTTGGATTCCGAGTGGAATATAGGGCCTCAACAGCATATCTCCACTTCATCCTGTTATCTGTAATCCTTTTAATTTGGCTACAGGATCGCTCATAATCTCTCATTTCCTCCTCACAAGATCTCCTTCAAGTCACTCTCAGATGCTCAACTCGTAGTTTACCCTTCGCGTTCTGCTCGAGTGACTGGCACGCGATTTCACTAAAGTGTCTCTCCATCTGCATATCTGTTAGGCAATAGGTTCTTGGTTGGCTCGTTGCAAGAATTCCTTGTCGTTGACCCTTTCCATCTACCTGAAGTTGATGACAGTTTGCGATAGCCTCTTTGAAATGCTTTTAGTGACACATGCCTTTGAAATATATCGTTCAGAGACTTGGCGCATACAATCATCAGCCATTGACCGAAAATAATCTTATGAAAAATGCTATTCATGAAAGTAAAAGCAGACGCTGATAGAGGTCACGTTCACATTCGGGAAAAATTGAGCTCAAAGGACACCAGCTACAAGATTTATAGTTCTGTCTCTCTTATTTTCCCTCTTTGGTTACATCTTTATTAGTCCCTACGAAAACGGAAGGCATCCACAGTTTCTCATTCGACCAAAACTTTAATTCATACTGAGATAGTGGTAGTTTAACATAATATACAGTAACAGTATTATTATTCCAGGAAGCTCGTAACACCTACGGCCTGGAAATCTATAAGTAACAGTAATAACTTGTAAAAACAATATCGGCATGAGTGCTACATATTTCACTGACAATAAAGTTGAAAACAAACTTATTTTGGTACAAATATTGAAAATATTATTCAGTTGTATGTCTAAGCATAGATCCCTGCAAATAATACATACACTATCATATATTATTTTATCAAATTAAAACATACTGTTACCAAATGACAGAAAATCCACTGAAGCTATATATAGTCAGGTTAACACTTGAATGCACGAAAGATAAGCTAACTCGTTCGGAAAAGGTATCCTCAGCTTTTCAAATCACGCCAAGTCAGGTATACAATATTATAAATAGCTTATGAGAAAGAAAGTTCCCCTAACCATCAGACACACATTTCCAGACATTTTACAGTGGAAATTTCAAAGTAGAATGACGAAAATTCAATAACCTGGCCAATGAGATAGCCAGCTAGAGTATGCTTTAAAAACTAGTGACATTACGTAGCTTGGAAGAGTTCAAAATAGTGGAGATGTATTTTTCAGACCTGAGGGATCTTCGTCTTATTATTCTCTTCTAAATAAGTCTTTATACATGGTTGTTTTATCACATATCCTTTTTCCATTCTTATTATGTTTTCTAGAAGTGTGATAACTGGAACTGATGTACTTTCATTAGTTACCAGAATAGATTTTTATGAAAGGTTAAGGGTTTTAGGGTAAACTAGGTATAAACTAGGTAACAGCACAGAAACTAAAATCCAACATATATCTAAAATGCCCCACAATAAAAAATAATAATCGAGGAGGCATGAACAACTAACCATAAGAGCCAATCGAACATCAGATGATATTGAATGTAAAAATAACACAAATGTATAAGTGGGATGGAAAGCAATACTTCTAAATATTAGTGTGGTATTAAGGTTGTTAGTCTCACACATATTAGCACAAACTAATTTATTCACACAAGCAAAATCTATCACTGCAATCATTTGGAATTTATAGGCATTGTAGCATACAAGCTTATTCAAACAGTAAGAACTTATTAAGTGTATACACAGAATGATAAAACAGCACACAAAAAGTATGGTATATACAGATGTACACATAGAGCCAATTAAATTGTAAACAAAACTTCAACTCACCCAGTTATTCTTAACAGTAAACAAACTATTTAACATCTGCAATTTACAAGGATTATTTTTTAAAGACCGATATGAAACAACTCATGCATTCCTGACGTCTTCTCTTATCAAATACGCATTTTCTCCATCATCACAATGCTTAATTTGTCTAAACTTAATATTCTATATTGATTGGGTGATACGACGAAAGGGCACCAGTCAGCTAGCTATAAGAAAGTTTATACAGGTTGATTTTTTCTGATTACAGAGACTGCTTCATTAGAATAAAATACCACTACTAACTGGAAAAAAACAATAAATTAAGCTATCATATAATCATTTAAAGGGTACATTTTGTAGTTTAGTGAAAACAAATTTAATGAGTTAATAAGGTGATTAAATTTTAAAGTCCCAGATTGCAAAAGAATGCATGAAGAAATTCGATAAACACGCAAAACCGTCATACCTTTTTTCCTTTAGACTGACTTTTGCCTCTTTTCAGCATAACTGTTTGATCAGATAACTTCATCTGATTTAAACCACAGATACCAGCTTGTATTACTGGTTGAGAACCGAAATTTTGAAGAGTAGGTGGATGTTTATCGCCACACGCTGACCGTATAGACTTTAAACGACCATTTACCACATATGCAAAATATTTAGCTTCCTCAAGAGATGCAAAAGCGATTCCGACTGGTCCACTGTCTGATTGCAATACATGAAAATGTTTAAGTTGTTCAGTATAATCCATTTCCAAAAAAAGTCTTTGTTCAAAGATAAGGATTTTCCTCTGTAAGAATAGAATATGCATTGGCACTGAATGATTGAGAGAGACTTACAATTATGTCATACATTCTGATGAAGTAGTCTTTATAGTTTCTGTCTTTTATGCAACAAGCAACTCCACAAGCTTTAAACACCCAATTTGATTCATTTTCGCCTTTGTAATATCGTACCACAGCTGAAGCTAACGCATCACATCCAGCTCCGAATAATGAATTTAATATAACATTTTCTTCATTAGTCAGTAGAACCGAAGTTCCACCTCCTTGGGAGGACTATGAAAGATGAAATGCAAACAAGTCAAAATAAGGAAAAAGAAAATTATACATAAGTGGCCCTACATAATGGAGATAAAAACAGAATCTTGGAACTTTACAGAACTTCTGAAAACCACTGACCGCGATTAGACTCCATTAATAGATGCATTAGAATACGAAGTCTACGAAACACTCCAATTTCGCACCAACGTACAAAGATAAAGAGAAGCCATACGACGAGATAAATGAAAGGCATTCACACCCGTACACTTCAAGCGACTTGTCTTAAATAGTGACGAAATATCATGTCACCTCAATTATCAATTATGCATTGGTGGAATGATTATAGATGCACAGGAACGGTTGTCCGCAATTTGATAAAATTCGTGAACAAGACCGGTCATAACCCCACATAGTGTAGTTTTATTCAGCAACTAACCAACATTTTCTCAACAGACAAAAATTCTCTAGGTAAATGAGTGGTTTAAAGTCAATAGAAGCAAGGAAGAGAAAAACTAATTAAACATAGAATTTCGGTGATTTTCTGGTAATCTCAGATCTGCCAACTATTAGCGTGTAAGTACGACCAAAGGTGAAAGAAATAATTCATACAACCAAGTAATCAGAAGTCAGACGGTATGAAAATACACATTAATGATATCATTAGGCAGTTTAGACATTCCTAATGGCGACTAGGATTCTGTTTGTTGTATATAACATTTACGCAAATGCTACGGCCACGCCACCGAAGCTCTTTCATCTCAGCTTGGTTTGTTATCCTGACGCTAAAAGAGATGAAGTCAGCACTTATTCAATTCCTTAGCACGAGTCGGTGAATATAGTCTACTTAAATGCTGCTTACATCATAATATCGTTCCCTCCTTAGACAAAGGAGCTAAATATGCCCGATGTATCTCCCTTGACTACACATTCGTTTTTGACTCTGTGGCCAGATGCCTTCTGTTAAATAAGCTTTGCCTGACAAAAATCAAGTCATGGGTTATTAACAGGTTGCATTCCTATTTCTATGTTAGAATGCAGTATACTGTATATAAAGGCAGATCTTCTGCCTTGCTTACTGAAACAAAAATCCCTCAAAGTGCTGCTCTCTTTTTCTTTTGTCTATCTTCTTACATGACTTGCCTCTTTCGCATGAAACTAACTTCTTTAGATTTGACTATCTCAGCCGGTTACGTTCTAATCTGACTGTCCCAAACTCAATAGCTTTTGTTGGACATAATCCGGTGGTCTAAAGCTAAATGGTCATACCCTAAATCCCTCTAAATGTCAAACAGTTGACTTCACCTTTATGCATAAACGTGATCTACACGAGTTGGTCCGCTCAAAAGATGCTTGTAACATATAGGGCACTGAAATAGAAACTAAGTCGAACATTAAACACCTTGGAGTAGTTCTATTCCCTAACCTTTATTGGTGATCCCATATCTTGCCGATCTCTAAGAAAAATGTTCCGTCTAACCTACTACTTCATCTTACCTATTATACTTTAATGGTTTTTCATGGGCTACTCAAAAAGGAGTCATATTGAGCACAGTATTGAAAGTTATCAGTAGGGTAAGTAGTGTGCCACTCAGTCAGATCGTTACTACTGCAGACGACGGATATTTGAACTCATATGAGAAATTGTCTAAATCTGTGCTGTTTGACTCTCAACACCCTCTCCAATCTCACCTCTCCCCTTGCATCTCTTCAGGTAGGACTAGAATTCATTACAAAATATTATACGCTCATGCAATAAGGTACAAAAACTCAACGATACCCAATATGGCCAGCGTCCAATGTGATACAGAAAGTGTTAAGTGTGAAACCTACGACTGGATACGCTATTAGCAAAATGATTGGCTCTTTTATCCTCTCCTATTTATAATCCATGGTGAAACTATTTCAATTACCTTATAATTTAAGTTATTAACATCGTTACCATCATTTTACACCTTTTATATATTTTCGACTTTATCGTCACTGCTAATACGAATAAGCTGCTATTGTCAATCCTGGCTACGTGTACCCTGTAATATATTTTTGTTTTGTTTTTGCTGCTGTCAAGTGAGTTACATGCGGTATTGTACCACATCCCGAAAATTCTATGCAGGTACTCACTGCTTTGGAATAAAGCAAATTATTATGTTGTGATGTTCGGAGTCACACTAGTTAGACTACTTAAATGAGCCAACATCTCATCAATGAAAGTTCGGCATCACTACCATTTTCGGATTTATTTTACTCAGAATAGGTAAGAAAACATTCGTAAGCTGTGCAGCTATTTGACCAGTTCAAACTTGGTTTCCAATGAACCAACTAACACTGCGATGTTTCAACTTACCACAGCTCCAAAGTGTATCACATCATACGTGCTTCAATAACTGTCCTAGGCATACGTTTGTAAAGCCAACTTATTCACCTACCCCACAGTATAACTCACCTTTAGAGAGAAGCACATTTCAACAGAAGTTAGAAGGGACTTCATGTAAGCCATAATAAGACATAAAACATGCAAACTGAAACGTCAAAAATTCTGGACTGAGTTTCTAACATAGAACTTTGCACAGAAGTACAGCAGCTCGTTGCCATACCATAGAGCATACAAATGTAGCGAAAAGTATAAACTGAAGAGAACTAAGGTGAATGATAGTGTACAGAGGAACAGTTAATTACATGGGGACATATATGGATTTAATCGGTCTGGGAGATTACAACGAGTGAGTACACCTGAGCCATTGAGAAAAATTTGGTGCAGATGCGCTAAGTGACCTATTCGAATTTTTTAAGAAAGTCAGAACTTTTGGTTGTAGAAATAAAAATTGGGTTCAAAATCCGTTGCAGTGAAACACATTTTACTCCGCAATAAGTATTCAGCATATTATTTATCCAATAACGTTTGATAACTACCAAGAATATTCACTCTCCTCTAACTCATTATTAGTTTTATCTATTGGATGTCTCGATTAGCCTCGAAGGTCAAACACCGAATTTTCATATCAAAATTTTAATAATTATAACAAAAGGATTTACGAACACAAACAGTGATCCCAAGCCCAAGAATTCACACAAATATTGTTACTAAAAACTTATTTACGGCAAAACTAAACTGAAAGAACGTGTGAGCAGTAAAACATAACGTTAGGAAATACGTTAGTGCAGACCCAGATAATTTAAAAACAGTAAATGTTAGGTGAAAATAGGTTAGAATTGAGAAGGTTACGATACACCTATAACGCAGACTTCTTACAAAGCTTTAAACACTAGAATGCTAGGAAGTAAAGATAGCTATTCCAAGTTATAATCATTTTCTTTTCTTAATGGACTTAGACGCGTGCTTCATTGACAATTTTCACGAGGTTCACGTGTGAAACAGTTGACTAAATTATCTGTCCTAAATTCTCAATAGGTTTCATCAGGAAAATAATCCAAGAAATACCACCAACAATCTGGTTTTATTAAAAGAACTCCCATGCTTGTCATACAACACAAAGATGAAAAATCCAGGTGCAAAGGGTTGAGGCTACCAGGCTGAATAACACCAACATATTTTAACGATCGAAATTCACAATAATATTATCGCCACACATGTTTCCGTTACAGATTTGCCGGTAACGATTAAATATCATATACGACATCTTTTCCTACACAAACTTTGGATTTTAACTGATCCTAGAATACCGTTAACGCAGCAGAGTGAACGCAAAAACAGAAACTAAGAACTATGGCACAATGAACTTCCATTCAGAAGAATTCGCTTTCAATAGTCTCAATGTTATACAGTAATATTTACTGATTGCGTTTAGGGCACAATTTATTGCTCATTATCATACCACGTTACTCATACAAATTTATAACTTCATTCATTTAATTCCACTATTTTTCATCTCGATTTGATTGGTAGTAGTATTTCCCGTATATCTGGTATCGCCAATGAGTTATTCCTATTGCGTGTGTCGGGTGTAGATTCTGTGAACAAAGATTCAGTAATCAATCTCTCTCCACCTACCTATAATACTTTCCAGAGTTTTAACTGTTCCACCCTATTGTGTGGTTGTGTGTTAACGCACGCAGTGCAGTTGCTGAGCTTTTTTCTAAATTACTTATCTTCGCGGAGTCAATCATTCTACAATTATTGAAATAATTATGTTCTGATAGCCTGACTATCCCCGATCTACTGATGTGACCTATGTAGTTGGCCTCACAGTTATTGTAAGGTATTTTATGAATTATATTCTGTCCAATTGGGTCAATAGGCTTCTTTAACCTACAGAGCTTGTCCCTGAGCGAGTTTGTAGGTCTGAATGTCACCCTAATTCCTGCTTTATTAAGAATCCTACCTAGGGTCGCATTTCCCCTCTTTATGTGGTACAACTGTAGATGCCTTATATTCTATCTTATTTATATTATTGTTATTATTATTATTGGTTTCACTATTATTTCTCCTTTGCTTTTGAACTATGTTGATCTTCCTAATGAATTTTATAGGATAGTTATTTAACACCAACACCTCCTATCTGTTTTATTTCATCATTTAGGTCTTTTCGATGTACTATTTAGTGTTACTGATCTGTTTGTCATACACTTAACTAGGCGTGCCTTCACAGATGACAGATGAGGTGAATTGAAGTCTAAATATCTATTAGAATACGTTGGCTTTTTATAAACGCCAGTGAATAGTTTACCTTCTTCTGTTCGTTTTATTTTGCAGTCTGACATAGCTAATTCTCCTTTTTTACTTTCTGATTCAAATGCAAATTCTATCCCCTTTACTAGTGAGTTTATATATGTGTGTGTGTTTGAAGAAACTAGAGATATGTTCTGTTTTCAACACTGTGAAAGTGTCATCCACATATTTCCATCACATCTTTGGAGTAGGATTAAATGTATTAAGAGCAATATTTTCCCAGCTGTCCATAAAGAGATCTGCTCTGATTGGGAATATTGGTGATCCAACTGCTACGCCTTCTGTTTGTTTATATATTTTGCCCTGGAACTTAAAGATAGTAGACGTGAGGCATAATTGACTTCTTTAAGTAATTTCCTCAGTGAGTAGCTTTGTTCCATGAGTACGTTCAGGATCAGCAGTCAGTTCTCATTTAACTGCTTCTGAGACCATATTGATTGGTTTATTAGTGTACAGATTAGTTATATCAAAACTAACCATTGTTTCACTATTCTCTAATAGAATTTCATTTAGTTTCTTTTCATCTCATATGAATTAGTTAACCTAGAATTTGAACAGTTTCTAATGGGACATAATATTAGAGCTAAGTGTTTTGATAATTTATAAATACGGGTATTTCTGAAATCAATTATTGGTCGTGTGGAGTAATCTGGTTCAAGTATTTCTACAACGCCATATATTCTACTAGCACTATTACATTTTGTCATTAAATTAAATCGCTTAAATTCATCCAGTGGCAGCTTCATTTTGCGCATTGAATCCTCTGTAAATTTTTTGGTCTTATTCACTGTTATGTCTACAGGCTTCTTAGTTTCTTCATGTGGACTCGTTGCAATGTGTTTAATGACTTCATTGATATGGTCGTCGGATTTATCTATAACTGCAGTCGAGTTTCCTTAGTCAGTCAACGTTTTTATCCTGTTTTCGACCAATCAGAGCTAGTATTTCCGATTTCGCTAAGTTTAACTGTGCTCTCTTTTATCTTTTCGGAGTAGATGTGGATTTTGCTTGAACCTTTTCTGTTGTCATCTTATCTATTAAACTTAATGCTACTTCTATGTTAGGATTGACATTTTCTGGTTGTAGCACATATATTCTTTATTGCTGTTACTGCATGTGATGACGCGATAAGTGAGACAAACAATTTTCAGTAAAGATCTTACTGAACTGAAAATCCCAACTATATGGCCCTCAGTTGATCTAAATCGTACATAAGAACATCAGTTTTAGAAGTACTTAAATTTACTTAATTTATTGACGGGTGGTGAATTTTTGAGGTTGAGAAAATGCTTGTGGGCTTTGTTTATACTGACGAAAGTTAAAGTTAAATCTGTTGGAAATATTTCTTCATATGACAAATTTTGTTTAGTGAATTTCAGAAATTAACATTTAGACTGCCTATCTGCCATAGCATCGTCAATCGATATCTCTATCTATACATTACCATTCGATTATGCTGTAAGTATGAAAATGATGCACTAAGTTTCACTTTTATCTCTTCTGATGATAAACACTATGCATTGTTTTCAGTAGGTTTCAATGAATCCCTTTTATATCCGATTTTCTTTTACGACTGCTTTTCCCTAATTGATCGTATTTGTAATGTAAGTGCTGCCAGAGGATATTTTGCCTTTGTATACGGAATTACGCCTCAAGGCATGTCATAAAACGAAAGATGTGAATTCACTGCTCTCGTGTTTCTCCTCTTTATTCGTGTAGAAAAAGGCGATTGTGATTTGGTTACGTTTCTGAATAATTATATGGTTTTTATTAAATAAAATTTATTCGGGACTTAATTCTTTATACTCACTCAGGGACAAGCTCTGTAGGTTAAAGAAGCCTATTGACCCAATTGGACAGAATATAATTCATAAAATACCTTACAATAACTGTGAGGCCAACTACATAGGTCACATCAGTAGATCGGGGATAGTCAGGCTATCAGAACATAATTATTTCAATAATTGTAGAATGATTAACTCCGCGAAGATAAGTAATTTAGAAAAAAGCTCAGCAACTGCACTGCGTGCGTTAACACACAACCACACAATAGGGTGGAACAGTTAAAACTCTGGAAAGTATTATAGGTAGGTGGAGAGAGATTGATTACTGAATCTTTGTTCACAGAATCTACACCCGACACACGCAATAGGAATAACTCATTGGCGATACCAGATATACGGGGAATACTACTACCAATCAAATCGAGATGAAAAATAGTGGAATTAAATGAATGAAGTTATAAATTTGTATGAGTAACGTGGTATGATAATGAGCAATAAATTGTGCCCTAAACGCAATCAGTAAATATTACTGTATAACACTGAGACTACCAAAGGGAATTCTCTGTATGATGGTGATTTAGCATGAGTGGGTGAAGAATAAGAGCATACAGAAACTTGGTATTAAAGAACTACAACTAAGACAATTGCATATCAACTCTAAATACTCTAGGAGATGTATATAACAAGATAAAACAGGCTTCAATTTAAGACCTCTCACCTTCCGCATGGGTTTATAGTCGCGCTTTTCCCAGTTTTGTATGCAGATGTTTCAAGGTTACTTTTACGACTATGACAATTGATTAGTGTCAACACACGTTTTACTCTTTGCAACAAACGTTCATGAACTATTGTTTGCAATAGATTGCAGTGGAAGCAATCTTTTTGTTATTCAATTTTTTTATGTAGCATCTAAGAAGCAAATATTTTTCTACGCCACACGTGAGTTATGTAGGGAATGCCTATTATGGTTTCAAATAGGGATAAAACCGCATTCAATGAAGACGAAAACAGTGGTCTATAGTTTTCAGTGGTTAATGTGAACGATACACCTAATATTAGAGAAAGAGCCTGCTGATGCTTATAACACAGTCTAGTGACTCACATGCAACAGTGATGTTCAATCGCTCTAAATTCTAGATTGAAAGGGAGTACGGAGTACTTCAGAAAGTCAATATGCTTTAAAGACTACTGCAACGCTATCACGCTGAATAAATTTGTATTAAAAGCTTAAACCAATAAACTGTTTCACCCTGAATTACTCCCTCTACCTATATGCAACCTGATACAGATGATGTCTGAAAATAACAGCTGTAGTGTTCATTGACTCATTGACTCATTTATGAATACCACCTCACGTACCAAATTTATGTACAGGAATATTTATATATGCAATAACTAAGTCATAAGGATGCCTAGAATAATGCAGATTTGACTTACACTTCTACTGATAGCTCAACATTTTTCTCTTCCTGGAATTATCAGAAATCACTGAATGTGAAATAAATAATAAATGCGTAAAAGGTTTCACAACGCATAACATCTATAAAGGACTAAAACTATAGGTATAAAAATACACCACTAAAGTTATCTAAGTCTTTCTTCCTCCTAACGATCGCATCCAACGTTTGTTTCCTTCACTGAAGTGAATTTAATATTATATTCCAGTCGTCTACGGTGACTGCTCATGTTCCTGTCCCCTATCAGAGATGGAGATGCACGAGATATTAACTAAATGTTCATATTACAATCCACACTGTGTTTACTTGGCTGAAATTATCCCGCATGCTCAAGGTCATTGATGGAGTGAGACGCTCAAAAGCCATTTTCCTCCATCTTAGTCGGCCATGTTGGATTGCAGTTCCATAGCCGTTCGCTTACACAGTGATTTCCCGCCTATCCTGCAGTAATTCACAACTCATCATGATGCATATTGTTCACAAATTTTGCGTTTCACTTCATTTTTGCTTCCGTTGCTGCTAAAGTTGGCTATTTCGTTTGTTTCGAAAGTTTTTACCACCAGGCCAGTGCATTCATTTCATTATAATTGTTTCATACCTTGCATTCGTGTGTGCTTACAGTGTTTTAGTTGTTTTTCATCTATTAATGAAATAGTGCTGTAACGAATTATTGATGTAAGTATAAAACTTCGGCACTGTGGTAAAGCATAACTCCATTATGGATAAGATTTTATTTCGATTTATCAAAATAAAATGCACGTGAACATGTTTGGCTGACAAAAGCTATTGCGTTTAGTTCATTTGCTGGTTGCCGTTATTGTTTCTGGCTCAAATGGTTACTTAGTATGTATAAATCTGGAAAAAACAATGTCTTTCACATTCGTGTTTACAGCAATATACGAGTGAATCTGGTGAGGATGATAAGATCAGGTTTGATATTGGTAAGGTTTTCGAGGAGCATATTAAACCTGAGGATTTCCGAACTTGGTTTGAAGTTGAAAAGCTTTGAATTCACATAACCCATATCATACTGCGCCAATCAGTGTAAATATATATTAAATCCACTTAGAGATAACGTTTGAACTTACCATAATTCCTGTCCAAACACACATACAGTGAAAGACACGTCTACATGATAACTTCTGTTCCCACAGAAGGTTCTGCTAGCATTTATAGGTGATTCCCATGTACTGATAGCATTCCTTTGTCAAATAGTACTGTCCTTCACACGAAAATAACCACATTTTAACGTGGTCTACATTGAATGACACTATGTCGAAAGCCGCAGCTTCTACAAGAAGTAAACTATTCGCGAAAATGACATTACCCTCCAACTACCCCATCTTCTTCATTTTAGAAATGCGTGGACTCATTCCGCATGAAATACTAATCATTACAACCAATATGCTTAGAGTGTGTCACAGTCTGATTACATGACACCAACATAAATAGCAAGGAAATGAGAGTTCTTGTCAATCCAGGAAACATTTAAAACACAATTTTATTGAAAATTATTGACAAAAAATTAACCGGGCGAAATTTCATCCAACATGCCGGATAAGTCCAGCCTATCGAAATCCATTCTTATGTCTTTTAACTGACAGTGAGACACTGCAAGTAGAAAAACATTTGAAGTAGGTTCCTAGAGGAATTCTTAGGTTTTTATCAACAGAAAATAACGGAGAAAACAACAAATCATTGACCATGGTTCGATCAAATGCGCGCCAGCTTTTTTGCTTATTTTTCTAGAAAATAAGTTTCCTGAGCTATTATCATTATCATGACTCTTCATAGAGAGACCTATTTTTTGATTATTTATGACAGAAGTGGAAAGAGGAGCAACTAAGCATACGTTACTTCCGATAGAAAAGAGGTTGTATTATGCTTGACAGGTAAATGGTGTGAATCCGGCAAAATGTGGCAAAACTTTGGTACAATGCACACTCACAATTTACTGCAGTGTAATCCAGAAGTTTGAGTACGATATAAAAATGAACAAAACATATTTAGAAGTAGCGCAAATTAACTTATTGTGATGGGAACGAACAGTACTTTGACAGTGTAGGTTTAGGCCTTTCGAAGCAGATGAGGACACTATTGCACAATTAGCTGCTTGCGATAATGAATTACCTGTCTGTAGGTTTTCGGGCTGCTTTCGGCCCAAAATAACTACCTATGTTTACGTCTTCCCGATTAACAAATTTCTTTAGTCACGTAAGTGAATTTTCCATTGTGTTGTTCGTATACGTTCTCAAAAACGGACATTTGTGGGAGACTTTTATGTCAGGTCTTAGAGTAAGATGGTATGCATTGTGGTGACTGTATTAAGTGATTCCACAAAATGTGCAAATACTTAACCTCTGACAAACTGTCTGTGTGATAATTTTCGCGGCTCAACAGGACATGGTATAAAATCCATTACAGTGCCTAAGGAGGAATGGTTCTCTACAGACACATGTAAGCCAACCGAAAAGAGGAGGATGGTAAAATATAAGGTGACCCACTGCAAAGATGGTTGAAAGAAGGAGAAGCTTGGTTCAATAAACGTCTCACTAAAAAATGAGGTGAGGAAAAGAAGCGATTATATGGTCGTAGTTGTAGTGAGCCACCGGCTTCACCTTGTCGCTATTTGCGCGGTTTAGTCCATTCAAGTTTGAGCTAGTTGTCCGGGCAAATGCAGTTGATGTGATTTTGGTGCTTATTTGGTTCTTGTCGGATAAATTTAGATGAAAATTGTTGTTTCATATTGTTATTGAGCATTTACGTACTGTTTGTGCTGCAAGAAACTTACATATATAGTTCATGAATTGATTATTTTGTGTGGCGAGTATGCTTCGCATACATCCTGACGACTGGCTTTGAAAAATTTCTTTGCAACTTGTTGTTGTGTAGTGGCTATTCCTGCTGCAGGAACCTAAGAATATGGTTGATATCGAATTCGCGCTTCTCCACTTTTGTGTGGTGATTCAATCGCTAAAAGTCAATGGAATCCGTAGATACAAGCAAAAATTAAAGTTCGTGATCAGCCAGAAATTACAATATGTTTCTCGAACACTTGCAACATTCGCTATCTTCTCCTAAAAGTGTTAACTGAGCTCAGTGTACACCACAGAATATTCTAGTACTTTGCTGGATTTGAGTAACTTAAACATCGCCGTGATGAGGTACGTAAAAACATCTGAGGGGCGTGCCATTTTGTCCTATAATTGAGTTTTCTCTCATAGACTTCCCGCTCTTCGCTATTTTCCAGAAGTTACATTATGTGCGTGTTTACAACGGAAATTCCTAGGATACACTTGGAATCATGCAGACGAAGTGTCGGACATTTACTAAAGCTATGGACGAAAAGTTTGGAAGCAGTTGTTATATCCACTTTAGGAGCATTCATAAGTCTCTGCATATTCATAAATGCCCCCAGAAGCAAATTCAATCCCCAGAACCTATTAATAGTGACAACAGGAGACCTAGCCCATCTATTGCGAAAATTGCTGCTTACACATCTTTTTGACCGACGGATAAAAATTGTTTTAGGCGTATTCTAAATTTTGTGGAAGCCCTAGCTATCAATTAGAAACAATTAAAAAAATTTCGTCATCACACTGAACTTTTCTTGCTAAACTTTTTTTCATATCAATCGCGATAGGTGTACTGATACCTCTGAAATTTGGTTTAATGACCTTCAATATATCTTTTAAACTTAATCTAAGTCTAATTTCTCACCTCTCAACTCTTTATTAATTTCACATGTATTCCTATGACAAGTCCGTGTTTGATCAGATTTTTCGAAATATATTGCGCAAATGCGTTGCAAGATCCAGACATATTATGTCTTCTAACTATTTTCTCTTAATATCCACTTTTGTCCAAAATAAAGACCGATGTAACCGCACACTGATATAAAATTCTAGCAACTCTTACGGTGTTAAATCCTTAATAAATGCATTTATACATACTAAAGTGATGCTATTAGTTATGGTCATGTACATATCATGTGGACCCCGTATTCTGTTCTGCTAATCGGTAATTTCAGCGACCTCATGGAGTTCGTTGTTGAAGAAAGCGTTTCCGGTATCGCTGATTCCGTAATTTGTGTTGAATCAATAATAAATGTATTCCGTGTACCTCAAATGGACATTACACTTGTTAACAGTGAATACCGACTTTATCGAATGTTGTGAGCTGCAGAGTTTGGGAAATTAGGGCCATGTGTTGTATAGAGTAGTGTATTCAGAAAAGACATCTACCCCTGAGTTATATTGTCAATATGCAG